TCCCTTCCAACCCTGACTGTTGTGTCATTCCGTGCTGCTGTGTCTTCAGCCATGGGAGACATCCACCAGAATTGGGTTGCTGCTGCCCTTTGCAGCTCACTGTCCTCCCCTCCCTCAACCCTCTCCTTCAAGAGGCCAAAAAAGGGTCTTTCCAGCCAGGATACTGAGGCTTTTCTAACTCAGGGTGCTCTGAATCAGGGGCTCCCTTTACCTGTGTCCAACTAGACACATCTAAGATGCTCCTGATATGAAGGGAAGGTGGCACAACTCCTGCCAAGATGGCTGAGAAAGCTTTGATCTCTTGTTTGAACTGGTCAGGGCCCCTTTGTCCACTTCAAGCAGGGGACACACTGGTGGCCAGAGGAGCTCTAGTAATTCCTTGTTCTTTCCCCACTGGCAGCACGAGAAGAGCCCGTCCCCAGCAATCTCTCGCCCACGGGGTTGGGACTCTCCTATCCCCATGGACCGGAGTGAGTTGGAAGTGACCAGCCCCAGTTTGAGGAGCCGCCCCATCACCCGCAGCATGGGGCAGGGGGACAATATGGAAGTGCCATCCAGTCCTCTCCGTAGAGCCAAGAGGGCACGGCTCTGCTCTTCCAGCAGCTCAGTGAGTGACCTGGGTGCAGGGAGGGTTTGGGTGGGGAGGAGAAGGACCTGGGCAGGGTGCTCCTCATCCAGGGACCAGTGTTGTCCCCGTTGCACAACACTGGGCCAGCTCAGGGCTGGTATTTTGGCACAGAAATAGTTTTGTTGTGTCATTGGAGTCTCTTTTAAACCATGCTGTCGCTGTCATCTCCTCCTCCATCCAGGACACTTCTTTGAGAAGCTTCTTTGACCCCAGCTCACAGCATCGTGACTGGTGTCCCTGGGTCAACACAGTGGAAGGAGGTGAAACCCTGGAGGATACCACAGCCCAGATGGAGAAGGAGCCTGTGAAAGCAGAGCCAGGCTGGAGAGTGGTATTGGACACCCTCCTTGCCACCAGGAAGTGTGACAGAGTCCCCGAGACGGAGCCTGTGGTGAGTCTGTGGGATCCCCAGCCCCAAACCCAACCCTCCTCACACTGCTTGCTCCAGCTTTGCTCAGGGCTGGAAGTTTATGGGCAGAATTTGGGGGTAGATGGGCTTTGTTCAGGCTGAATGGCAGAGCTCAGAGGGTTTTAATCAGTGACACAGAGTCTAATTGAAGACCTGGGGTTAGTGGTGTCCCCAAAGGTCAGGACTTG